CAAGTGTACGGCCTTTTTTGTACGAGTTGGTGAAGTTGCTTCTGCAATTTTTTTTCTTTCGTACATATTGAGATTTTCACTTTTTTCTGTTGTTGTTTCATTTTATTTTTATTTTCAAATAAGCTTACAAGTCATTCAAATAAAAGTGAACACTCTGCTTTCACTTGCAAAAACATAGCTCTAAATGCGTACAAATGAGCTTAAGAAGCTCTACAAAATTTCAAACAAGCTTTATTGATGATAAAGTCGATCACTCTAATAATATTTTTAAAAAAGCCAGTTAAAGTTTTCCTTTGAAGTGGTGGGCTGTCGTTATCATCCGACGATTCAAGAATTCGTTTGACTCGTTTGTAGCTTCGTTCCATAGAAATTAAACCATCTGTTTAAGTGCCTGGTGACTTGTTCACAGTGTTTATAGTAATGTTGAATTATCCACCATGGAACATGGCTCCACTGAAGGGAACAGCTGCAGGAAACATCGAGGTTTTTAAAAACGAAGCCTCCGCTTCGGCCTTCAAAGTGGTGGTTGCAGCAGAGCGTGAAGTATTGTTATTTGCGTCGCTCGCAGCATTGCATATTGAAGACTTTGAGCTCAGTATCCTCCTCCTGAAGAAACTCATTTAAGGGGCTTTTCTAACGCAAGAAATCGTAAACTTGAGGTTTCGGCCATCTCAAAAAGCTAATTTTAATAAATAAATTTGACTACAGAACTCCCAATCCCTTTCAAAATGTTTACACAACCAACGATGAAGCTAAGTTCCAAGTAAACTGACGGGGCAGGAAGAGGAGAAGGCGCGCAAACCCAGTACTTCTGACAGGTTCTTCGTGATTGGACGAAACGTTTCCGCCACTCGTGAAATTGTCGTTCCTCTGATTTAATTGGCTGTAAACAGCTGTGAACTGGGTTTTAAGACAACAGATTTCGTAGTGAAAGTCTCAGTATGTATAAAATAAAAAACAATTAGCACCTACTTGTATTCTGGACATGTAAGGGCAGATGTTCTTACTCAGTTTAATTATTTTGCTTTCATTGAAATGTGATGGTTGAGCTCCATCTTTTGTCGAGTTCTTTGGCACAGTTCCTTTTCATTAAGGAGCATTTTCCAGGGGAACTAAACAAACGGCAGAGGAAACAAAGAAATCCACGGACTGAGATCGCAGCCTAACGAAAAAGGCTAAAACTAAACGCGATTCGCTGTGTTTCGCTCTGCTCGGATCATAAGGGGATCGTTTTGGTGTTTTTTTTTTTTTTTCGCTAAGAGCACACAAAAATATTTCTGAGACAAAGCTAACAGTGAGCAAGGCAGTTATTTAGAAATGGTTTTAGTCTTGTGGCGCATCGAGTTTTCCCTTTTTTTGGTCGAAAGTCGAGGATACCGGATCGAGGGCCAAGGCGTGGTAGTTTTTATTCATTTATTTATTCAATTTTTTTTTTACTTTTGGGCAGAACAGCAATGGCGGATAGTATGGCTTAGCAAAATTCCGAAAAAACGTATTTAAAAAAATGAATCGTAGCTGAAATTCAGCGATCGCTCTTGACAGAGATTAGATATTCGAGATCTTCTTACTTTAGCAATCTTAATAGCAATTTATCTGCTGTTCAAAAATATGATATTTTAGTTACTAAACCCCTTCAGGCAGCTGGTATGTCGGATGATAAAGTCCGCGGCTGAGATATATTTTCCGATAAATGAATATTTGACCAAGAAGCAAAGCTTCGAGGGCAAATGTGAAATTTTGAGGACGATCTCTCAGCTGAACAATTACGAAGCTTCTGTAAATAACACCAGAAGTAGTTCTAAAGCCGGTGGCGAGGCGCATGTAAACTTTGCGGCTTCAAGCCACACGCACCCAGTTCAACCCACCAAACTGCCAGTCTACTAATTGCATAATTTTAATACATTAAAATTTCAACAGCATATGATTTATCGAACTCTCCTTTCACATCTTTTGAAACTCAAATGGCAAGATTTTATCATTTCTCGCCAGCTTCGCTTGATGATGTTTCTTCATTTATAGTAAAGTTCAGATATAATGCGTGCTGTCATTGGTTGAAAGAAATTGATATTTGGCCAAGAAGCAAATTAGTACTATGTCCGTCTATTTCCCAGACTTCTCTCTTGCTTTTTTTTGCTAATTGAAAGTGAAATTTCGGAACAAGCGAGCCGGGGAGTAGCAAAAGAAGAACCAAACAAAGGTTTGTAAACATGCGCCGTAATTGACGTTATTATAACGCGAGCACAGACAAAAAGGCTCAAGAGAAAATGAAACGGACAGTCTAAGCTTTAAAGGTTTTCACACTCGGTTCGAATTTAAGCTTACGGTAATAAACATCAAACACAGCTAACACTCTGTGGTATATGTAGCTTCGTGTTCAAAAACAAAACAGAACAAAACAAAACAGGAATGATGAAAAATGTAACCAAACTGGCATGATTGTTAAAATTCATACAAATCATGACGGTATCAAAGCAACTGCGATCATGCTGAAATCCATCGCGGCTAGCTCATCATGGCGATCTCCGGTCATAGCAGTGAAGCAAGCCTCAGAAATTACATCGGCCGCCCTTCGAGTGAACAACTGAGAGCTTGCTCTAATATCCTTTCCGATGAGTTGAGCCGAAGGCCACATCAGTCACATCAGCCAAGTGTTACGGCGCTGTCATCTCGAGCAATCGAGACTGTTCGACTGACTTTCGACTGTTATTCGTACATAAAATACACGCCTTAAGCAGTTTGTTTTCTATTGGTTATGTGAAAAAAAACTAGCGTGTTATTATGAGCGATAATTTGACCGGATTCACCGAAAATTTCCCTTTCAGACTCTGTATGAAGACTGAAAAACTTCAGGCAAAAGTGTCAAATTTTACCTTACGAACAGTTTCAGATTGTGAACCATTGTAAATTGTGAACTTTGATGGTTTGTCATTTTGGACAGCTCTCATCTTGCTCTGCCAATCAGATCCTGTAAACCATTCTAACACGGATTCTGATTGGCTCATTGTAGCGTGGTTTGTGAGAGTATAGAGAATGCTGACGACACTGTTGTTCGCTTTGGATATTAAGTTTGTTTTGAAAATTGAAAGGAGTGCGTGGGGAATATAAGGAATTCCTTTTTATAAAACAAATAGTGAAGCCTTGTTCTGCTGTAAAGCTCGTAGGAAGCGGCTGGAACACTCATGAAGTGGGAGACGTAGTCGAGTGTTTCTCCCACTTTTCTTTCGTATTCTAGAAGCTTCCTGCGTGCTTTAGAACAGAACAGAGTGTAGTCAAGGCTTTTCTATTCGCTCATGAAGGAAAATAAAAGCCATTAAGTTGTGACGCTTGTGTGATTGTTCAGACTGTTTTGTTGTCTTTTTTTCAGTTTTTTATTTAATCAATGCCTCCAAAGTGATACTAATAGTAGTAGAGTTTATATTATTTATATCATAGCTAAGTGCTTCGGGCTAAAACGATTCGGGCCCAAAATATATTTATGCAAGTGAACATAAGCTCTATTGCTTCATTAACATTTTAAAAAAATTAACAGTTAAAAGTTAAAGCGTCTTTCCCTTGATGAGCACCTGGTCAGAACGCTCAAACCATTAGTGGTAACGAAAGAAAACAATAGATTCTAGGTCAGCAATTTGTACTGTAACAAGGTTAGCCATGATTAGCGACATGATTTCGTCCCGGCACCGCTCGAATTTCTTCAAGTGGCCAAGCCTGGGGAAAGGAAGCTAGCTTTGCTAATGACCATAGCAGGATTTATATACCAAAGGGGTTATATTTCACAAGTATCGTACAGTACAGAGCCTTGCTTTCTCATAAATTCCAGAGTACCACATCATCGACAAACCAAAATATTATTATATTGAAGTATTGCTATTGACTGTAGATATATGAAAATCATATGTGAACTGCGGGCAAAGAAATGAATATGGAAGCGATCATCGCAGTAATGAAAATAAGGCCTGAAAAAAATCCAAGCCTGTATAGGATTTTAACTCATGACCTCTGCAATACCGGTGCAGTACACTACCAACTGAGCTAACAAGCCAAATGGGAGGTCATAGGTTCAAATTCCGTACAGAATCCCCACCTCCACCCTCAGACAATACACTGGGTGTTTGAACTCTTCAAGATTGGTTGGTTCAAATTCGGCCCTTTAGGGCCAAAATGCCAGTGGGTTGTATGGGGGAGGATGTTGGAGCTTCGAATTAATCATTCTTTTTTCCTTCATTTGACATATTTAAGCAACTTAACTGAACTGGAGGTTAACTTGAAAAGTAATCACTTATTTAACCTCCAAGCTCTTCATTGGAGCAATTTATCAGTGTGCTAAAATAATTTTTAATTGTTAATCTGTTATGTACAAGAGTGAATTAAGCATAAATATGTATTTTATTTTGAAATGCATGGAAACAGCGTAACAGTATGGAAAATATACAAACTGATTTTAGGGTGTAAAAGCTATAGCCTAAATTTCTCAACGTTTAACTTATTGCAGGAGATGGGCCTATTGATAAAATTGAGTCACAATTTAGTTTGGTTGCCTAACTCTTTAATCCCTTGAGTGAACAAGAAATGATTTCTCCTTACAATATCAGTACCACGTTATGCAGACAACTGATGAAAATGAAGAAAAACATCAACAAGGGAATTATCAGTTGATCCAATATCAATTTCTCGGACCTATCATCATTAGAATTAATGATATTGTAAAGCACCATTCCTCATTCGTTGGGAAACACTGAGAATTGTGTTCATGAGTATCTCAGTATTGAAATTACCTCATGCAGGGTGGAGATACTCCTCAACCGATCAACATGACTTAAGATCCTCTGAGAGGTAATAAAGTCGAACTGCCCTGAGTAGTCACCCGCGGGGAATGGCGGGATGCCCGCTTAGGACAAATTGACTACTACTGGTTCTGTAGACACCTTTAAGTCGGTAATAACGTGTGTATGAACTTTTCTTCAAGAGAGGACTCACTAGACGTGATAGCTCGCTTTAGCCCATTAGGATCTTTTACACTTTGTTTTTTCCTTGTCCAAGTCTTCCTGTTTCCTTTCAATTTCTTCCTCTTCTTCCAGGCATGAGTTAGGCGTTGAGGGCACCTCTGGGCGTGGCATTCTACATCCCCTGTGTTCCGTGATGTTGCCATTTATTTGAGGCCAGGCCTCTATCGGTATCCTGTTTATGGAAATGATGATCTCTTCGTCTTTCTGATCATTTGAACTGTTCCGCCTTGTTTGGCCCCCAAGCGGATCAAGTTCGCTTGCGCATGCGTGCTCCACTCTGTTGTCCCTTGTTCCTACTATGCGGTCATCATTACTCATGGTTCTTGCGTTGATCGTGACAACAGCATTCTCCCTAAAGTCGCGAGATCCAAGGGGATCTTTTAGAAACTGCCTGAGAGCGGATTGCAATCGACTATTTCGTACGCAGTAAATAATCGGGTTCAATGAACTACTGAGGTAGAGAATGTAGACTGCAAAGAATGCAAGCCAGGATTGGGCCGATGAACGGTTTTCTAAATCCACCACTGCAAATAATATTGCGGGAACATGGGCAAAGAAGTTGGTAGCGATTATTATGGCGATGGTTTTGCAAGCTCGAATGTCGCGTTTTAAACGAACTTCGGCTTGCAGAGGGCTTAAGTTCATCTCGGCCCGCTGAAAAATAAAAATAATAACATTACGACCTTTCTCAAGCACATTCCCAACCCTTTCCCCCGCATTGCCTGTACTCATATCGTCTATTTTTACAAAGTGGAGGGATTTTGGATGGGAGGGGGGGGTTGTAAAATGCTGCAATGCGCACGGGTGGAGGAGGTGGGGACAGGAGGAAATCCAACCTTTGATTTAGAATAACTTTTAACATGCGTGGTCAACTGTACCGCGGGCGCGCCAATGCCACGTTTTCCCGTAGTCCAATGGTCAGTGCACTGGGCTTCGAGTCGGACGACCCAGGTTCTAGTCCTGGCCGGGACAAGGCGTTGTGCCCTTGAGACGTGCGGGAAAACAAAAATGCGAGCTCCGCTTTTAGGCTTGGCTAAATCTGTATATTAATCTACAATAGGACATAAATAAGTTTAGAATTAATATTACTTCAAGATTTTAAATACGTCATATTGAGTAGTAACATGCGATCCCGTCATCGCAAACATTTTGATGTCAGACAAGAAGTAATAAAAACAAACACCGCCAGTCCGCCGTAAAGCTGGTGATCTCACTGTACTACCAAGCAGACAATGACAATACAGCTTAGAAGAGGCTTCGAGTACCTTTACTTTTTCAAGGTATATTTATTAAACTCTTCAATATAATCCTTTTAGGAAACCTTCCTCAACTCAGACATATGTAATATGAAGAGAGTTGACTAGGAATGGGTCATTTGATTACCTTTTTCCGTCGCGATTTTATTGCGCGAGTCGTTAGGAAGCCAAGAATTGCAACAGAAATGATAAAGAATGCCATGAACGATGCCACAAAATATTTTCCTTGCTCGTAAATTACCGCTCTGTATTCAGTGACATGAGCGTTTCCGAGATCTATGTTAAGAAGGGGAATGGAGACGACAATCACAAACACCACGCCGATCAACCAGATCAGGAAAACGCACAGTAAGGCTTTTCTGTTTCTTTTCCAGATGCTGTACTTCATGTCATAGGAAATGGCAAGGAAAATATTAACGATCATCGCCAACAGCGAGGTAAGGTTGATAGCGATGTAAACTCGGTCAAAGAAACTTGTCATGATTGCCAAAGTCTTCCCTCGAAACCAACGGGCCTCTAAAACAGTGTACATCGTGTAAAGGGGCACACAGATGATGGCATTGACCAAGTCAGCCAGAGCGTGGCTGGAAAGGAGAATGTTTGGAACTGTTCGTAACGATTTGAATCTGGCAACGACTACAATAACAAAGCCATTACAGCAGGCAGACACCAAAGTTAACATAGTGGTCAACCCGCTCATTATCAGCTTGGTGAAGAGCGGTTTTTCCGAGTACATTTCGTTAATTTTCCTTGACGATTTTTTAGAAACACCTTTGATGGTTCACGCTTGCTCATTCGTGCAAAGCAAGTGAAGGTAAACTTTTTTCCGTCCTATTATATGACAAGGGATCTGTAATCAAAAAACAAAAACGGTTCTCTTATGCAAAACGTCTAGACCTTCTATTTTTGGATGTTGAAAAGAGTCCTGATTAAAACTCACAATCCTTAAAAAAGATAGCTGGATAGCTTTGAATGTGGCATTTTGAAATTTTTATTTATAATCATATGCTAGATAGCGGCCGCGGGCATTCAGATTTCTAGTTATCAAGAACAAACAAACTACAGTCTGACGCAAGTGCATTTTTCACGATAAACCTTTGAGTGAATAAGGTATTTAGAGGTATTCAATATTTCCGTAATGACTTCCTATGATCAAATCCGCTTTCAAAAGTGATTATCTTTCTACAGTTTTCGACCTGATATTTACCAGGCTCGAGCATACCTAACTACTTTATAATTAATATTTGGTGCGGTGATCATTTGATTTTCACGAAGAAAAATGTTGTGGTTATCAAATAGAAAAAAATTGGCACCTACTTGTATTCTGGACGTGTAAAGGCAGATGTTCTTACTCAGTTTAATTATTGCGCTTTTATTGAAATGTGATGGTTGAGCTCCGTCTTTTGTCACGTTCTTTGGCACGATTCCTTTTCATCAAAGAGTATTTTCCATGGGAGCTAAACAAACGGCGGAGGAAAAAAAATCCATGGACTGAAATCGTAACTTAGCGAAAAATGCTAAAACTGAGCACGATTCGCCGTGGATCGTTCTGCTCGGTTCATAATGAGACCTCTCATCATTTTATTATTTTTTTTTTTTTTTTTTTTTTGTTTGTTTGTTTTAGCTAAGAGCACACAAAAATATTTCTGAGAGATAGCTAACAGTGTCAAGGCAGTTTTTCAAAAATGGTTTTAGTCAATCGAATCATTTTTTTAATATTGTTATCACTTTTCAAGTATTGTGGCGCATCGATTTTGGTCGAAAGTCGAGGATATCGGGTCGAGGGCCGAGGCGTGGGAGTTTTTATTCATTTGCTTATTTTATTTTTGGGGGGAAGGGCGAACAGGGATGGCGGCTAGTATGGCTTGGTAAAATTCTGCGAAAACGTTTTTTAAAAGGAATCATGATCGCTCTCGACAGAGATTAGATGTTCCAGATCTTCTTACTTTACTAATCTTTAGGGCAATTCATCCGCTGTTCAAAAATATGATATTTTAGTAAATAAACCCCTTCAGGCGGCTGGTATGTCGGATGTTCAAGTCTGCGGCTGAGATATTGTCCGATAAATGAATATTTGACCAAGAAGCAAAGCTTCGAGGGCAAATGTGAAATTTTGAGGACGATCTCTCAGCTGAACAGTTACGAAGCTTCTAGAGATAACACCTGTAGTAGTTCTGAAGCCGGTGGCGAGGCGAATGTAAGCTTTACGGCTTCAAGCCACACGCACCTAGTTCAACCCCCAAACTGCCAGTTTACTGATCGCACAATTTTAATACATTAAAACTTCAACAGCGTATGATTTATCGAATTCTCCTTTCATATCTTTGAAACTCAAATGGCAAGATTTTGTAATTTCTCGCCAGCTCAGTCTATAGTTAGTGCATAATAACAAGAAATCTGAATACCCTGTATCTAACATGTGATCATACGTAAAAATTTCAAAGCATCGCATTCAAAGCTAATCAACCACATCTCTACCTTTTTTTTAGGATTATATTAAAATTACGACTATTGAACATAAAAATAGAGAACTGGCATTGTGTATGATTAGAGATACCTTCTCATATAATAGGCCGGAAAAGGTGTCCTTTTAGTTTCTTTGCAAGAATGACCGAATGTAAGCCTTGAGAAGTGCCGGCTTTCTCCCATAAAAAATCATCGAGGACAACTGACGAAATGTTTGTGGTAAAACTGCTCTTCTGCAAGCTGATAATGAGCGGCTTATCCTTCATTTTAACTATGGTGTCTGCTTGTTGTCTTGAGTTTGTTGTTGCAGTCCTTGCCAAATTGAGATCGTTACAAACAGTTCCAAACATTCTCCTTTCCAACCACGCTCTGGCTGACTTAGTCAATGCCATCGTCTGTGTGCCATTTTACACGATGTACACCGTTTGAGAGGCCAGTTGGTTTCGAGGGAAGACTTAAGCAATTTATGACAAGTTTCTTTGATCGAGTTTACATCGCTATTCACCTTAGTTCGCTGTTGGCGATGATCGTAAATATTTCCTTGCTATTTCCTACGACCTCAAGTACAGCGTCTGGAAAAGCAACAGAAAAGCCTTATTGTTGATGCCCACTGCCTGCAAACCTCGAAACACTGCGCAGGCTCGACTGCTGATAAGTAAACGAACGCTCTCGAAGAAGAATGACGAAAAACAAGTTTTGATAGACCGTGTTAAAAAATTTGACGCGTTTTCACCGATTTATTAAACTATAATGCGCACTCCAATAAAAAGAGAAGAAATATACTGCACGAGCCAAGCGAATGTGAAGGTTAAATTCAACAATTACTGACAAACAATGAGGAATATTACGCGGGAATGATGCCATCAGATTCAAGAGGGCGACGTAGCGCTCGAAAAACGTCCATTTTGACAAGGTATCTACAACAGGACCAAAATGCAGCCCCGTCTTAAAAGAAATGCCCCATTGCCACATGTTTATTATTTGAAGATAGGATAAACACGCTCGCTAATGTTCCTTGTTTTATTGCCTTCCTTGACGATTCTTAGAAATGTTACTATTTTTAAAACTGTCATTCATCTGTCTTTACAATGAGCGGTTTTATTTCGAAAAATAAAACACTTTGGCTTTGTTAGGAGAATTCAAAGATGATAAACATCATTAATAAGTGAAAGGGGCAAGCTCATGGAGGATAAATACGTGTTTTCTCTCTACATTCGAGCAATTAAACGCCGTGATGTGATTGGTTGCATTTCTCTTGTTGCGATGATGTAAAGCCTTAGAAACCGCTCCTGTCCGCCAGTTAGTACTGTGTTGTTCCGTATCGTGCTTTCGCACAAAATTTTTATTTTCAGTTTGATTTTTTTAAGTTTTCCTCCTTTTATACATTTAATATGGCAACGGCTTCGACTTCTACTTTTCTCTCTGACCATTCAATTCTAGAATCACTGCCAAAACTACGACCATTGGAGCTCAGTAACGAAGAAACGTGCTTCTCAGACGGTGAGTTCGCCAACGAATTTGATAGTTGTGTTTCCACTCATCTCCAAACCTTAGCGGCGAAAGACAAAAAGATTCGTGAATTTCTCCCCATCTGGGAGGCTCAAAATAGGATCAAGTCTAAAATGGAAACTTTCCTCAAAGATAAAGCCGCTAAAGTGAGAAGAAATGAAGCCGATAAAGAAGAAGACGACGATAATGACGACAGCGAAGAGAGTGATTCTGGCGACGAACAACCAATACCAGTCGTTTTTGGTCCTTTCTTGATCTCGAAGAAAGATATCATGACGGAAATTGAAGTCCGTTTGTTCATTTTTAATCTCTGGCTTCGAAGAATAGAACTTATACGACAGATGGATACAAAGAAATACAACAACCTTCAAGATTTTGAACATACCATATATCACGCCCAAGAAGTAACCAAAGATTACAGAGAGTTTATTCACAAGCAATTCTACGACATGGAACTACGACAGATGCTGCCTCACCACGAAGAAGTCCACGAAAAAGCGTGGGATGAAACCTTGGAAGAAAAGGAGAAAGCTGATTTTGAAATGTTAGATGAAGATCTAGAAAGTTTTTTCTCCAATGCAGCTCGCCTATGTGCTTTGCTCGGCCTTCGACTCGACTTCCTCGACCGCCTGAAAGAAATACCACCAGAAGACTGCGACCATCTTAAGGTATGTGACTGGATCATAACTTTCTTACGAAACAACTATGAATCAGCTAGTCCAGCGAACAGAAGCTCCCCCAGCAAGGAATTGCTTGCTTCTATCGGTTTTGATCCTCTCGGTTCATCTGCTGAAACCATCATGGTGCGCGCCGGAAGTACGCAACATCACATTGATGCGTGCGAAATGGCAGAGATCTTTATTAGAGACCAGTTCAAGTACAACATTTTGCTCTCTCCTGAAGTTTCAAGATTCCCTCTACTAGGAAATCATACAAATATATGGTTTCAGCTCCCCGAACAGACTAACGATGAAGACCACTATAATATTCCCGTTTGCCACGTCAACATCCTGAACCTCGTGACAGTACAATCTCTCGCTTCTAGTGGAATTCATTCGATTCTAGGCGGCTTAGTGACAAAGGACAATCAAAACGCTGTTCTATTTCATGGCACAGATCATCAAAGCGCCTGCGACATTTTATTTCGTGGAATAGATTTGTGTCAAGGACGACAAAAGCGAGACTTTAGCTGTGGATCAGGGTTTTATTTGACTGACGATAGCGAGAAAGCTTTGAACTGGGCAAAGAACACAACAGCGAGGCCAGCTTTGTTAGTTTTTCAAGTGAATCGACAGGAACACTTAGATAATGCAAAGAAACTGAACTTGTTTGAAAACGATAAAAAATGGCGCGAGATTGTGTCCTCATTTCGATCGGGGAAGAAAACCGCCAAGACACGAAAGAGCTTATGCGCGTATGACTTGATTGAAGGGCCAGTTGGGACAATGAGAACGAAAGACTCAACTAATGAGATTATGTTTGAGCCAAAACCTTCCTCCTATCAAATGTGTTTGATTTCTGACGACTTTGCGGAGACTTTCAGAAAAACGCTTCATTCGATCATATTTCTAGACATTTGATAAAAGCAAGGTGAACAACGAAAACAGATTTAACTCAAAGAAAACAAAACATGCATGTGTGTCATTTTGTATTGAGTTGACACGATATTAGGGCAGATGCGTTAAGTATGCTTATCGAGGCATTTATTTTTTATAGAACATTGAACTTTTGACAGATGTAGTGCGAGTAGGTCTTTCAGGATGGAAAAGACTCAACTACGAAATCGCTAATTGTTGCATTTGGGGCCGATCCAGTGCAAAGTTAGATATTTGTACTTTACTCTCAATTTGGGAAGAAATATATCCTCTCGCATTTCAGAGGTAAATTTTACTTTTCCATGGCGAAAAAGAATTTCGATGGGACTTGTTGGAATAGAGGTGTAAGATATTGAATAATTTCTGTTTAGAGATGAGCTTAATTGCCTCTTGTTCGCTCCATTTTGTTCTTGTATATAATGACTCATCAGGAATGTTACCCATAGTCAGTTGACGAGATGATAACATCAATTCTTGAATCACAAATGTTCAGCATGTCATAATTCATAGAATACTTTGCTTGTTTAGAATTCAGCCAGCCTCAAAAGAATTCTGGTTCATATCGTAGGAGATTGCGTAAATTGTGTACAGACTTTAAAATTAATTTTTGCTTCGTCACAAGTTCCGCCCAAATTTTCATGTGTTTGTCACAGAATGATGCATGATAAACGAATTAAGTCAAAACTTGAAAATATTTTTTTCAGAACACCTGATTAATAACCTGTCTGCTTTTTTTTTTTGGTGTAGCTTTTTCAGCTCGGTTTCGAACAGAACTCGATCATTCATTGTCGAAAGACGATCAAAATGTTGTCCTATTCCATAGCACAGATCATCAAAGCGCCTGCGACATTTTTTGTTGTGGAATAGATTTGTGTCAAGGACGACAAAAGCGATACTTTAGCTGTGTATCAGAATTCTATTTGACTGACAACAGAGAGGAAGCTCTGAACTGGGCAAAGAACACAACAGCGAGGCCAGCTTTGTTAGTTTTTCAAATAAATCGACAGGAGCACTTAGATGACGTAAAGAAACTGAACTTGTTTGAAAATGATCAAAAATGGCCCGAGATTGTGTCCTCATTTTGATCATGGAAGAAAACCTTGCGTTAAGCATGCTTATCGAGGCATTTACGCACAATTCTAGATTTTTATAGAACATTGAACTTTTGACAGATGCAGTGCGAGTAGGTCTTTCAGGATGTCGAGGAAAGTCAACTACGAAATTGATAATTGTTGCATTTGGAGTCGATCCAGTGCAAAGGTAGATATGTGTTCTTTAGTCTCACTTTGTGTAAATCTATATCAACTTACATTTCAGAGGTAAATTTTGCTTTTCGGAGAAAGAACTTCGGTGGGCCCTGTTGGAATAGAGGTGTAAAATATTGAATAATTTCTGTCGAGAGATGAGTCTCTTGTTCTCTCCATTTTGTTCTCGTATGGTGATTTATCAGGAATGTTACCCGTAGTTGGCGAGATGATCATATAAATTCCTGAAATGCAAATGTCAAGCTCGCCATAATTAATAGAAAGCTATACTTGTCTATAGTTCAACTAGCTCTAACAGAATGCCAGTCTATGTCACAACAGATCGTGTGAATTGTGTTCAGACTTGCAAATATGGTTTTGTTTATAAGGAAGTTCTGTCATTTTGAAAGGCAAATCCATCTCAGAAGATCTTGGTTATATTGTTTAAATCAAGAGTTCAATAAAATATTTGAGTTTACACGACTACGATCTCTCTTGAAATTGGCACCATGAAGTATTGCCGCACTAGCCGTTGGTCTTTTATTAATCCCCGAAATTTTCATGTGTCTCTCACGGACTGATGCATGATGAAGAAAATCAGTCAAAACTTAAGGTCCATTCGTTCTTCCCTACTGAACATCCAATTGATAAACTGTCTGCTTTTTCAACGAAAATCATTGCCCGTTTGCGGATCCCTATGTTTCGAGCAAAACTCGTCTATTATAAACTGGTCCCTATTGCCACATGTCACAGCGTTTAACAATATGGCACAAAAGCTTGTTATGGTGGGAATGTTTCTCTTGAAGATTTAAGTTCGTTTTCCTCGCTGAATTCAGCCAACAGCTACGCGATACAATTTGGGGCCTTCGACAGAAACCAAACTGTTACAATATGTTGATCTTCATGATATGCATGCCTGCATGCCTAGACCTAAAAGCGGACCAAACCGAGCGGTGAGTGTTCGCCCTTAACGGCTCCAACCGCCATTTTCTTTCCCCGCGATTACCTGCTAATGGTTCGCCGAGGATAAATGATAAATCTAATATCAGGTTATAGGAAGAAACTATTATGGACACCATTGCTATTAAAAAATTTAGTTTAATTGGCACATGAATACAGAATAAAAATTCCATGAGTAAAAGTTCGTAACACCCTAGCTGTTTCAAGTTTCGACATTTCAAGAATCATTCATTGTTTGGTTCACTTAGAGTGAGTACTCAACAATGTATATCTACTTTTCGGAAAAGACTACAGAATGAAGGCCACGGTCAAAGAGTTCGACGCAGTTTTGCGTTCGAACGCACAGCTGATAAGAATCATCTTTCTGACGGGGATGCGAAACACTCGATGAATTCTTTTCTGAGATCGAAGCCATCGGTCCCTCGATAAACTGGTACAAGTGATTCATTTCTTTGCGGTACTTTGAATTTAACGTTCCATTCCTAAAGGTCTTAATCACTTTTTGCCATTCTTTCTTCATATCTGGCTCTCGAAGATCATAGCCTTTCTCGTTATCATCGCCTCTTAATTCAGTCTTCTTTAGTCGAAATACGAGCACTGCAGAACTCTTGCTTCTATGTTCAGCCCACCTCAAAGCATCATCAAAATTTTTGTTCAGATAAAAACCATCTCCATCGCTGAAGTCTCGCTTTCTTGCACCTTTCCCCAAGTCAATCCCACCTTCAATTATATCTTCAGCGCTTTCGTGAGATGTACCGTGGAAGAAAACTTCGAATTCGTCATCTTCTAGCGAATCTGGAAAAGCATTTTCGACTTGATTTTGTGTCCTGTAACACTTCCGCGCGAGTCCACATTTATCAACATTTATTATTTTTACTGCCTCACCTCGCTCTGGCCAATCGTCTTCAGGAGGAAGATTAAACCATTCATTGACAGTGTCCGCTTTGTATGGAAAGCGGCTGTAGTTGATGAAAATGCTCGGACCATAATGTATCACATATTTTGAAACGGAGAACTTGAGATACGAGGCGAGATCACACGATGCCACAAACGGATTTCCGAGGTTCGCCCGGCCCAGCCATCCTAGAATCGCAAACAGACGATTTTTCGTTTCTTCGTAATCTTTCCCATATTCTATTTTCAGTTCATTTCTCAAAAGGACCGCAGAAGTCATTTTGAAATACAAAGATACGGGTGTCTCATGCTCTGCTGCCATCGTCTCTCAAACGTTGTGCATATCAAATAAGCGCGACATGATATTCTGTGGTCTTGACCTCTGCGAATTCCTAGAAATCTACCCAAATTCTGAGAAATCACATATGCGAACGCTTAGGAGACTTGAACTTTTAATCTTTTAGAGCTGCTTATATTTACTCAAGTTGGAATTTTTTATTCAAATAAGCGCGGTAGCTTTACCCTTTTAAAGAATCTGGCTTCAAACATCCACAGCCTTTCTATGATTCTATGTAATCGTGCAACATAATCAATCGGTTGCAATTTCGAACGTTCAGGGCCGAAATCTAATGTATTACGATAACAATTCCCTTTGTGCGGTTTCCATCACGGAAGTCTACATTCTCTTTACGTTGGACAGGTTTGATTCGTTCACAATAGTTACCAATACATCGAAATTTGCGGATTTTCATTGGTTAATCCTGCCCAGGTTGGCATGTTTCTATAGCAAATGTCTGACGTGTCCTAAAAAGAGACGAATAAGTAATACGCTATTTGGTTTATATTTTCAAACGTTTATCAATTTCAACCGACTTCTACCGCTTTGCTTTTATGTAATCTCGATGAGGGAATTTTTATACTACCCCAAAGTTTTGCCTTTTCGGTAGTAAGGTTCGTTTGGGCTTTTAAGAATGGCATTCGTCAGTAACCATGTATGCAACTTCAAGAAAGCCGACTTGATATAGCCAAAGTAGGTTTAGGACATCGTTAACTGAGACTGAAATGGTTTCATCGTTGCGACGTCATATTCAGGAATAGAGGAAAATCCCACTGTATTTCGAAATGTTGGAAAGAAGCAGTCTCGATGGGCTTTTTCGAGAGATATCTGACATATGCTCCTTTCTTGGACTTCGGCAAACCTTCGTCCTCGACAAACTGGAGAAAATATCATCCGAGGACCGCGATCATCAAAGTCTTTGCGACTGGATTGTGACTTTTGTACAAAATAGCTTTCAATCTGTCAGCTTAACCGATAAACGTTCTCCCAGTGCGGAATTGCTTGCCTCAATTGGGTTTGATCCTCGGAGTTCAGCCGTTGAAACTATCGTGGCGCGCGCACGAAATACGCAACATCATATCGATTTGTGCGAAATGGCAGAAATTTTCATCCGAGACCAGTTTAAGTATAAAGTTTCTCCATCGTCTGTCACTTGTATGTTCCCCTTGCGAAGCAATATAACAAATACTTGGTTTCGGCTTTCTATATTTTCCTCTGACGTTGAAATCGTTGGAGGTTCAGAGTGCCACGTCGACCTAATAAACCTTGTGACGATAGAATCCCACGCTTACAGTATTTTGCGAACGGAACTCGGCAATTTATTGTCAAAAGACGATCAAAATGTTGTCCTATTCCACGGCACAGATCATTTAAGCGCCTGCGACATTCTATTTCGTGGAATAGATTTGTGTCAAGGACGACAGAAGCGAGACTTCAGCTGTGGATCAGGATTTTATTTGACTGACAATTGCGAGGAAGCTCTGAACTGGGCAAAAAACACAACAACGAAACCAGCTTTGTTAGTTTTTCAAGTGAATCGACAAGAGCACTCGACTGATGCAGAAAAATTGAATTTGTTTAATGATGAACAGAGATGGTGTGAAATTGTGACTTCGTTTCGGTCTGGTGAAAAAACAGCGAGGACTCGAAAGAGTTTAGCCGCTTATGACTTGATTGAAGGTCCCGTGAGTACAATGAAAACAAACGGATCGACAGGGGAGTTAGTTTTCTCGCCAAAACCTTTATCTTATCAAATGTGTTTAATTTCTGATTCCTGTGCGGACATTTTTAGACGAACTCTTCACTCTATTTTATTTTTCGACATTTGTTAAAATTAAAATAGTTTGAGAGGAGGGCAGAGCTTGATTAACAAAAGCATGATAGCTCCCTTCCTGTGTTATGCTCTCACTATATTTATATAGTGATGTTTGCATTTTCCTGTTTTTACTTACTAAAGCCTTTTCGCGTCTCATTTCTCAATTTTGTTATTTTGAGTGCAATTTTCTAGAGGGCCTTTAGTTTATTAGTTCACATTGCTATACGTGCACCTTCGTTAAATATTGTTATCATTATAATTACAGAAAATTATGTCTTTTTCGGAAGAGAGTGCTCACTTCCAAAGAAACATTATCTAACTGAGTAGAACACGGCAGAGAATATTTGCATAAGCAATAGACTATAGATATCAAGCCAAAAAAGCAATATCTAAAGTCTTTAATTTGATATCAACGAATGCATGAAGCTGAAATCCACCATTCATGCGCTTGAAAACTGTAATATTGGCATGAACTGTTCATCTGAGGTAATTTAGGTAAGGGAAGTGCAGTCAGTCAGAAAACAATGTCTTACCTACTTCTTTTCAGATTAATTCGAGCCAATATTGTGCCTATCCCAGTATAATCTACATTTAGAGATCTGTTTAGCTTTTCAATGCCATTTTGAAAATAATTGAATTAGGGGCCACATGCAATTTTTTGATGGTAAATCTAAGGTGGGTAGCTTTCGCACAATTACAGCTGATATTATTGCTAAGGTTCGATGGGTAACTTATTATCCTACAGACTTTTTAAGTATTTAACCACATACCACGAATCATTATAGAAAGGAATGAAATATCAAAATCATAGTGGATCAAAACCTTCGTGGAATCCATCGAGGTTGATTGTAACTATTATGTAATGAGGCGTCTTCAAAAACATGGGGTAACTTTGAGTAATGTCTGTTTGATGACTAATGAAAGTATTCATGTTACTGTTTGGGTGAGTAGGCTCTCTGGATGAAATTTGCTCTCATTTTGTTTATATCATGACAAAGTTTTTGCTCTAAGAAAACAATAATTTCATAGAGGAATTGCTTTTGGAGGCTTTAAACTTTTATCATTTCACCCAAGTAAAGTATATTCAGTTTCCTATTGTTCGCAAGTAACATCGACTTTATTCACAAGAGAAAGAGAGGGAATGGTTTTTGTAGCAAATTTTAGACCAGATTGTATTATCGATGCAAATACGAATTGTGTGGAGGCTGTTGGCGAATCATAACAACAGTTGGCTGATTTCACAGTTTTGATAAAAATACGTTATCCAACAATATCGATATATTACAAATTGTACAGCAGATTCTTCCTTAAACAGGTCAGTTTATGATCCTCACTCGCTCTACGATATCTCTAATAAAAATTTTCAAGCAAAACGTTTTCAGCTTGTTTCAATTACTAGAACGCTTGACAGTTATTTATGCTGTGCATTTCTTTTTAGATTCATGACATATTTTCAGTCTTATAATGAAACTCTTTACAAAGCAATCTCTACAAATCTTGAAAATTTTGGTTATTTCAGGATTCCTATTTTCTTTCATTTGTTTGGAGGGAAGATGAAGTCAATCGGTATCTACAAAATGTAGACAGCTTCAGTTTACATATTGCATCTCAATCAAGCGTGACTTTCTTGAGCTTGTTGACATGACTCATAGTTCATAATTTATTTTTTGATCGGGAAAGTGAAACGACAAAGTCGAGCAAATTCGGGTTTTTCCGCCACGTGTATAATACAGTCAGCCGACAGAAAAGGAAGAACTATCGATTTCGTTCCTACGACTGTGGATGACTAATACGGGTAGAAATGTTCCCGGAAGCTTGTAGCTTCAACTGAGATGATCATCGCGTCAATTACGAAGCGTTAAGTTGTTTAATTGCTCTCAATAGCTGACTCTCGTTCGTGGCCCTATTACTTGCGTGCGCGCGTCGCGCAACACGCGGAGCTCTATTGCATAACGAGGCCTTCGGCTGAAATCGTTACCACGGAATATAAACTCAGTTTCTTCACATAATATTGGCGGTTCTTTTTGTAGAGTGTGTAGTTTGCCTCAACAGATTTTAAAAAATATGATTGAATGGAGAGTCTTTCGAAAAGTGTCTGCGAAGTCATCAGAATTCAAGCACATTTGATAGGAGGAAGGCTTTGGATCGTACACAGTCTCGTCAGACACTTCGTTCCTTCTCTTTCGTCCCACTGGCCCTTCAATAAAATCATACGCACTTAAGCTTTTACGAGTCTTGGCGGTTTTCTTTCCCGATCGAAACGAGGACACAATCTCGATCCATCTTTGTTCACTTTCAAACAGGTTTAATTTTTCTGCATGATCTAGGTACTCTTGTCGATTCACCTTGAAAACTAACAAAGCTGGTTTCGCCGTTGTGTTCTTTGCCCAGTTCAAAGCTCTTTCGCTATTGTCAGTCAAATAAAATCCTGATCCACAGCTAAAGTCTCGCTTTTGTCGTCCTTGACACAAATCTATTCCACGAAATAAAATTTCGCAGGCGCTTTGATGATCTGTGCCATGAAACAGAATAACGTTTTTGCCGTCTTTGAGTGAAATCAAATCGTTGAGCTTCGAGCGAGTGGTGCCAGAAACGAGGGATTCCTCCGTCACGAGGTTTAGAATATTGACCTGCCAAACCTGATTGGCAACTTCTTCTTCCACGTCGATGTTCCTAGGGAGCTGAAACCATGAATTTGTTAAACTGCTTTGTAAAGGGAACCTGAAAGCCACTGGAGATAGCAACAGATTATATTTGAACTCGTCTTTGATATAAATTTCTGCCAATTCGCACACATCGATATGTTGTTGCAGATTTCGTGCGCGCGCCATAATGGTTTCAACGGCTGAACTCAGAGGATCAAAACCAATAGAGGCGAGCAATTCCTTGCTAGGACAGCTTTCGTCGGTCAAGCCAACAGATTCAAAGTTTTTTCGAAGGAAAGTCACAACCCAGTCACAGAGTGTGAGATGGTCGCGGTCTTCTAGCGGTACATCTTCCAATCGGTCGAGGAAGTCTACACGAAGACCGAGCAAAGCGTTAATGCGATCCCAATTTGAAAGAAATCTCAGGACGTCATCTTCCAACATTTCAAACTTAGACTTTTCTTTCTCCTTTAAGGCTTCGACGAGGGAACTTTTCAGGCGATCTTGGTAATTTAGGTCAGTTTCTAGCTTTTCACGATCGCAGTAGCTTCGTTTGTGAATAAAGCTTCGATACTCTTTGATAATTTCTTGGGCACCGAGGATGGCACGCTCAAAATCTTGAAGATCTTTGTACCTCAGTTTATCTCGCTGCCGTATGAACTGAATTCTACGAAGCCAGAGTTTACATGTAAGCGACTGGACTTCAAGGTGCATCACTAGAGAGATTTCCTCCTGAATTTCAAGCATTTCGATGGGAACGTAAACCTGAAGTTTGCTTTCCTCCTCTTTAGCAGAGCCTTCATCTTTTCTGCCTTCCAGGGAAATCTTTATTTTGTCAGCTTCTTCTTTGAGGAATGTTCTCCTCGCAACCTCAATCCTTTTTGCAGCATATTGAATCCTCTCTTCTGCCTCGAGACGGGGAATTAGTTCTCGAAGCTTTTTGTCTTTCGGCGCTAAGGTTTTTAGATGAGATGAAAGGCATTCGTCGTACTTGCCATCAAGACGGGTTTCTGAGAAACTATTTTCGCGGCTACTGAATTCAACTGGCTGAAGTTTGATCAATTCTTGATGTACTTGGACGGATGGTGACCCTGCAGTCGAAGAAGTGGCCATGCGAAGGAAGAATCGAATGTAAAATCTTAGTAACTATCCTACATGTTGGAATAGAGATAGAATTGCGTCTCGTGATGGGAGTTTTGTGAACGACGTGTCCAATCAAGTTTGGCGTCAACAAACGTGGGGAGAAAACACATTCCAATCATCCCTTTCGTAGAAATAGGCTCTGTCATAGCCTTCTTGAATGACCATATCTATGACCACATAAAGAATTAAATTCTCTTGACATTGCAAAACGTGTCAGCCAATGAGGATATCGAGTGATCTCATTTCCGGTGGAGTGAATACACTCCAGCTTTTCTCGGAATCGAGCCAGTAGACGACTACTGACCCGGAAACGACCATTGCATGGGGATTTCATCATAATGCAAAAATATTTCATTCAAATAGGGATGAAAACATTCCATTAACAAACTTAAAAAAGTTCCTATTGAACAGATTAAGATTATGCGTTGGCGAGTGTTACGGCATAGTTTAACCGACAGAAAGAACACTACAATCCTACAATTCCAACTACTTTATTAAATGATGAGTATGTTCTTAATACGGAGCGAATCCTAAAGGCAATACAGAAATTATCCTCAATAAACTTACTCCATAGGGTTTTTTGACCGCGCTAGATCTGGGTGCAAACATAGAGCGAGCTTTTAAAGTGTCAATAGGCAAAACAAATATGGCGGCTCGAAACGATCGCACGATTTCATGTGATGGGATCCAGGTTATCCAGCAACTACACCAGTACAATTCATAGGTCCTCTACGTCTGAAAAAGAAGTCAACCGAAAAGAAAATACCGTGGGAAAAAATGCCAAAAGGCGACAGATTCGAAAGTTTACGCACGCTCAGATATAGATCTTGGCGAATTTCTATTCCATGACGTAATGTTTGGCGACAAAGAAAGTCGGGAGCTTATTGAGTAAGGTTTGTCGCGTTTCCTTCGGTGGAATTTCATAAGATATGCTGGACCTTTAAACATATTTGTGCCCTTCCTGATGACTGGTGAGTAAAAAAAATTCAAAAAGACCAAATTTGAGATAGAAGAGGAAAATACAACATTGCAAAAAAGCGAGGAAACTCCCTTTATAGCCCCTATTTTTTCGGCTTTTAAATGATTGGCAGGACAAGTTTCCCAAATTGTGAAGATTTTGAGAGATTTCACAGAAGCAAATCGAAGAAAATTAGAGGCAAAACCAAATTATTACTTGCGAGCGCCTCCCTTCGTGGAGCCTTAGCTTAATAACGAAAATCATTTTGTTAATATTTACTACAGCAAACGATAGTCCAAACCTTGCTCATCGTCTTTTAGTGGCTTTTAGTGACCTTGAAAAGCCAAGACATAAAAACTTTCTGGAAAGACAGAACGCAGGCGCGCGTGCCAACTACAGACCACCACAGCCTATGACTTAACTCACCATTGACACAATCTCACAGTTGTCTCCAAATCTCCTCAAAATGAACAATCTTCCGCAATAGCTCTCTCTTTCGGTATAGCTTTCCAACAATCAGTCACTCCTGACATCAACAACAACAACGACTACACGACTGAGCCCTTATATACATTTACCAAGTATTCCAGAGCATTCCGGAAGCTTACAACACAACTATTTTGGTAGTAGTACACCAAATACGTGACCAAAAAGCATGTTCCAGAAAGTTTCATGGTATGACAGTAGAAAGTTCATGTATGCATCTCAGCATGACTAGGCATTCTAGAAAATTCTAGAAATCTATCTTCACAATTACAAGAGTGCTTCTGGTTGTAGATCAGAAATGTAGTGCGGGAGGCAACGAATTAACATAACAATCTCGTTTTTCCAAGCCGGTCGCAAAAATGCGGCGAAGGAAAAATGAGGCGCAAAAAAAATTATAATAAAATGTAGTAAGAGACTATCAGATGGTGATCTTTTTATTAATTGTAATAGGACTGAGTGGAGTCCGATTCGCTCTGTTATTATACATTCAATTCATTGCCTCTTTCCTGATTGGCCAAAAACGTACTGTGAATTTTCGAAATCAGCACCTAGGGTTTCATTTAGCTACAGATTATATAATGATACAATAATCATGTCAAGGACATTCAAGGTCACAGGTAATCATGTAACGTATGACCGCGGTGCATGATTTCTAAGTTTTTACACGTTTGGAAATAAATTATCGTTTCCACTTGCTGTCATGACCACTTTTTTCTTCGTTCAATGTATAGTAAAACAATTATTAGATTCGGTTTTGTGATATCTTTGATAATCAAGGTCTCGGTAAGGTTATCAAGCTCAGCCTTCGGCTTCAGCTGATAATCCCTACCTCCACCGTCATTATTCTGGATATCACAAAAACCTAATCCAATAATTGTTTATAATCACACGAGTAATAACAAATTCGGGCGACCGCACAGCGGGAGTCCGATTTGTTTATCACGAGTATGATTACAGACCGAATTGGACGTTACGAAGTCTTATCAGCAATTAATCGTAAAAATTACAATTTCCGAGAAGAGAAGAATAGCTAAGTTAAGAAAGAAAAGGTAAATTTACATTAAAAGACCGACAAATGAGGCGTAAATTGTTTAATTTAAACTACAACTTTGAATGCGATTGGTGGATTTTAACTTAAACTTCAAATGTGATTGGTTGATTTAAACTACAACTTTAAATGTGATTGGCTTATTGAACTGTCCGATGACAATCTATCCAATAACAAGCTGTCCGATGACAAACTGTTCCATAACAACTCGGCAAGTGAATTAGTGGAAAATAGGAGTTTTTTAAACCAATCACAATTAAGGAAATTGTAACTTTTAGAGTAAAATTGTTATTAATTTAAGATATCAGGTACTGTGGCGCATCGAGTTTGTTTTTCGTTTGAGTGGCGAAAATGCCAGGTCTCGGGCGACATGTCTCGGGTTTTGTAATAGAAAAGCGATGAAACGCTTAGGAGATTAAGACAAGTGTTTTCTCTTTAGTTCACACAGAGTTGCTCGCTAATTATCACCTTTAAAAATAATAATAGTCATAAAAAATTTAAAAAACGGTCGTAGGAGTTTTTTTTTCGCCAAACAACGATGGCGGATAGTATAGCTTGACAAAATTCCGCCATAACGTGGGAAAATAAAACGAGAAATCAAAGTTGAAATTTAGGGATCGCACTCGACAGAGATTAGATATTCGAGAACTGCTCACTTTACCACTCTTATTGGTAATTAATCCGCAATTAAAGCACATGACATACATTCAGATGCAATCACACTCGTTTATTCATCACTTCACTGGTTTATTTCGAACCAACAAAATGACCAGCTCCCAGACTTCATTTTACTGCTGCCGAAGTAGTGTTCATTGATCTTCATCTTCATTTATTTATTCGCAGTTCAAATATATGATATTTATAATGGCAATTGACCTGAGTGGAGGGCAGTTTGGGCTGAAATCATATGCGTTATTTCAAAATTGAAAGAGCGCGCAGCGCGAGTTCGATTTGAAATCACAAGTATGATTTCGGACCAAAATTGCTCGACCCGAGGTTCAATTATCACTTTATTACATCTATTCTGGAATCGCTCAAATACAGGACTTGGTCAGTTCAAATATTTTATTGATGCAGTACTGAGCTGATTTGAAATTAAATTCATCCATTTGGGGGAAATTGACAGTTTTGGAAACAAAAGTAGTAAAATTTGCCACATGATACTCTTTGTCTCACATTTTCCTGCAATTTGATCGGCAACTTTAAACAAGCCTTGAAATTTGATTGGTTGTTTTGTTTTTAGTGTAGCCTCCTAATTGGCTGGGAAAAAGATGCGATATAAAGCAAAGTATGGTGCGATTCATGAATAAATCGCACCAATTAGAGCCAATCAGATTACAGGGACCACCAGTGATTTCAAAATGGGTGTAATAAAGGAAATAAAACCCCTCGGGCGACTAGTATGTCGGCTGATAATGTCCGCGGCTAAGGTATTGTCCGAGAAATGAATATTGGGCCCAGAAGCAAAGTTACGAGGGCCAAAGTGAAATTTTGAGGACAATCTCTCAGCTGAATAATTACGCGAAGCTTCGGTAAGTAACACCTGTAGTCACTCTGTGGCTGGTGGCGAAATGCATGCAAGGTTTGCGGCTTCAAGGCCGAACACACTTAATTCAACCAATTATAAACTGTCAGTTTTTGCAATTGTACAATTAATCATAAGTGGCGTGATTTTATAATTTTTCACCAGCTTCGCTTGATGGTATATTTTCATTGAGGGAAAAGAAGCCATCGAACTTATTGACGCTCGTGTGATTGTTGACACAGTTTTGTTGAAACTTTTTCGATCAATGCCCTCCAAAGTGACAATAATAGTAATAGAGTTTATATTCTTGGACATAAAAATGTTTTGGGCCTATCTCAAAGCTAATTTTAACCTTCGCCGATCGGCACAGGCTGAAAGGAGCCTAAGTCGGAGCCAAGACATATTCATGCTCTATAACATAATCTCTATTGCGAACTATAAAAATTAAAAAAAAAATGAAAACTTAAAAACCCAAAACATATTTCCCTACTTGAGCATCTGGTCAGAACGCTCAGAGCATTTGTGGTAACGAAAGGAAACAATGGTTTCTTTGTCAGTAATTGCACGTAGGTACTGTAACAAGATTGGACATGATTGGCGACTTTGTCCCAATGCCGCTCGGATTTCTTCAGGCTGCGAAGGCTGGGGAAAAGAAAGCTAGTTTTGCCAATAATTATGGCAGGATTTCCCGGATTTATATGCTATATAAATAGGGGCTATATTTCACAAAGATCGTACAGAACAAAGCCTTGTGTTTTGAATTTTTTTTCATAAATTCCAGAGCAATATATGCAGTATAAAATAGCGAAGTATAAGCCAGAGAGCACTATAAGGCATCAAGGCTGAACAGTAGGAGGCTTGGAAACGAATTTGCCTCGTTCTCGTGTTGATTATCTATTTCTATTTATCTGTTTCTATTCTGCAATTCTTCACGAAAGAGCATGCCTCCACTCAATCGAAAAAACTTTAAAACTCTCAAGAAAACTTCAAAAATATTTTGGGCTATTCGTATCGATTTACGCCTGAGATGTCGAGAATTCCGTTTTTTTACCTATTTTTCCCAAGAATTTTACATTACGCGATGCCTTGAAGGTATAACAGTCTTCAGCATGAAAAAGATAAGCTCTCCCTGGGTAACTTGAATCCCGCTTTGAAGTGCCGTTTTGTACTCATCTGCAGAGTAGCTCGTCTCAAACTAGTTGAAATTAAATACTCTTTTTATTATATTTTGACCCGTTGTGATTGTTTAAGAAAGTTTCACCCCCAACAGACTAGAGATCAGCGGTTGAGGATCTTTAACTAGTATCAAAATCAACAAATTTCCCAATTTTATTCCACTGTTTATTGCTTAAATTTCCGTTTTCATTTATTTCGTGTAATGAATCAGTGTCACTTAATATCCTTAGATTGACCATATTATTCCAAACTTTTCTTGTTTTTGTTATTGTTGATTATTGTTGCTGAGATTACAATATTCCTGACGTTTCTACAGACACTTGCATTCATAGTGAGAAAATTACTCTAATTATCTGGCTCTTTTAGCTGAAGAAAGCAATAACCGTCACTGGTTAATTAAAATATTAAATGTGGTCCCAGTTTCTTAATCCCTTAGCCAGAAACTGATGAAAAGTGTTGCCATGATCGACTTCATCTCGGCCAAAGCTCAGACGAAAAGTGCATAAACTTCAACGCATACAGTGCCATCATTATCTCCTTCGGTGGAGTTCATTAGATCCTCGCCATACCACAAGCGTAACTGTTGGTTCAAGGCAACGGGGGTGGGGTTGAGAGACGATAATATCAACTCTGGAGATAATGAGTTATATGTAGGAATTTTGGACCACTTAGCATTATCACGTACAATGAGCTGGCTTGCTGGCAAAATGATTTGATCAGTCGAGGTTGTTATGACAACATTAACCAATTCCCGTACCAAGGCATTCGAGCCACAGCCCCAGTAAGACCAATAGGAGACTTCTCGTGTGTTACACGTTACATAACCGTACAGGTGAACCAGCTTTACGGCAGCCAGCCTTTTAGAACCAGTTTTAGCCGTAAAACTGCCAAATTGGTTGTTCTTGGCGCCGAAACAAACTGGAGAGGTATTTTGCTTGTGCCAAAAAGCTGTAGAATAAATAAAAAATAATTTTTTACAAAAATGTTGTTGTTCATCGTGGTTTTATAGATAAATGAAAATTTAATCGTTTGTCTCACGATGTAAGAGTCGAGGTAATAAAAAATGAAGATCGCGACGTTTCAACTGCGGTACTGCTAGTCTTCCTTAGGCGACAAGGTCGAAAGTTTAAGTGTCGCTATTCATAGCAGCTTAGTTTGGTTTCATTGGTGTGTCCATTGCCAGGAGCATAAACAGCCACATTATCTTGGCAAGTGACTCTAGAAATATACTTTAAAGATCAGAGCTAATACTCAGAGGTTATATTTGATGCCACTAGAGAACGGCAATAATGCAAGTTTCTAATACTTGTGCAACCAATTAATATTGATATAGCAACCTCCCGTTGACAGAAACAAAAGGGTTATCAACTATATGAACGGTACTAGGTTAAACATTCCTGGCACTGAAATAGTTGCTTTAGTCGAATCAGCGATTAGAAAACCTGACCCTGAGCAAATGAACACTGTGAGAAGATGTGTAAACTGATTTCTGCAACAAGTTAAACCACCTACGCCCAACATCGCGAATGAAATGCCAAAAAGCCCTTAAAGATCTTAAACAGGATGAAACTATCGAGACCCTACCAGCCGACAAAGGTCGTATCAACGTAGTTCTAGATGACGACACCTGACATTATAAAATGAAAACATTGATCAAGACAGGTGTAGTGTCGTATCTTACGTATGCATTCATCATGGGAATGGATCGGCATGACTGCATGACTGTATGTTAACTATGAATATTAGTGTTGTGAAATTATTTAACTGATATGAATATTAATCTAAGTGTGTTGTAAGTCGTAACCGTATAACTGGAAAAAATGATAGACTTGAAATTTGTCAAGAGGATTAAAAGGATATATAGGATTTCAAGTTTTTCAAAGATGTTACGGTTTAATTTAACCGACAGAATGAACAGTATTCTCCAACAAACCCAACTACTGTATTAAAAAACTTGTAATATTCTTACTAAGGAGCAACTCCTAACGGCAGTAGAGTAAACTTACTAAAGCATTGGCAAACTACTTGACGCAACTGTTTATGGGTGTGGCACTAAGGAATAGGACAAAGGTCTTTTTGCGGTGTTAGATAGACTTAGTGGGGTGGGGTTAACAGTTCTTGGCGACAAGTGCGAGTTCAGAAGTCCAAACTGCCAGAATTGAGGAGAGAGAGAGATTGTTTCTAATGAAGAGGTTCGTGAAAGGGACTGGTGAAGGGAGTTCAAAGGAGAGGCTTACGTAGACAAGAAGAGAGATGCTGTTTTAAAGTCTCCTAAAATTGGTGATGTAATGCTCCTGAGGGCGGAGAAAAATAACCAACCGCCAAGTTTTTTCCGCCATGGTCCTGTAAAAGCGGTTCACAAGATGGAAAGTGAGAGCACGGTCCGGAATGACTCAGGAGTGGAACTTAGGCGCAATTCAGATCTTTTTAAAAATTGCCATACCCCAGGAAGGTTCCAACAGCTCGGTAGAAAACGGAGGAAATGGAAATGCTTTTGCAGACGCTGGGAAAGAACATGGGAAAGGCACATCGGACGCGGAAGTAAACATGGAAAATGAACGAGTAGATGTTGGCTATAAGGATCAAGAGATTCGACAGCATCAGGAGATGCGGGGGCCGATGCGTCAGATTCGAAGATCAGCAAGATTTAAGGGCTTTGTTTTCAACTAAGGAGTATTGTAAATAAGGATTTGGTTTCATAGCGACTGATCTACGATTATAAGTCGTGAAGGACGCTTTTGTGCTATTCTTGGAGTGCATGCCTATTTTTGTAAACATTTGGAGTTTTATTAAGTGCTGGACGATAAAGATCATGTTAAGTGTCCTTGTGAGAAAAGGAAGGAATGCAGTATCGTATCTTAAATTATGCACTCATCATGGGAATAGACGGGCATAACTGCATGCCTATAAATAAAATTGTTGTGAATTGTATTGAAGTAATGTGAATATTGATTAAAGTTTGTTGTAAGTGGTGACCATATAACCGGAATACTGAGAGACATAACAACAGATTCCTACCAACTCCTCAACAAAGACTCACGAAAACTCACTGATAAAATGCTCACCTAAAAACGAAGTGGCCATCTGTCGGAAACAATATACAACAAAATCATACCTAGGCACAAACGGCCACTTGGGATCTTCGGTATATCTAAGATACACAGAGCTGGGATACCATTAAGATCCATAGTATCATGCGTAAACACCTCGCTTACAACCTGTCTGCTTAGTTAGCTGAAATCCTGTCTCTACTGACGGTAAACCCTTTAACTCCCATGGGAGACCAAGACAGAATTTTGAAGTGATGAGATTAAAAAGAAATATCAGTTAAGGGATTATTAGTTGATCCAGTAACAAATTCTCCGAACTTAAGTCGTTAGAATTGTACAGCATTCAGTAAGGAGAATTACTAATGAGATATTGAGAGTGAAAAGGTTAAGTCAAATTACACGGTCGCCAACCCTGCTTATTTTATGTCCACTATTAGCCACCAAGAATTACAAGTCAACAAAATCATGGTTTTCTTCGACGTAGAATCGCTTTTTACTAACGGGCGTTACGCAAACTTCCCCGCTGTAGGATGATTCTTGTCTTGCTGAACGTGCGACAACTTGCACAAACTACCGACCTCTTTATACTAGGGTGATTTGTTATTATCAACCGAGTTGATAACGTAAATGGGCTAACGTAAAGATTTTAAAAGTTGACATTTCAGGCGTTGGCCAACGTCAGAGCATCATTATCATCATCATTCATTCTCCGCGGTACACAATTTTTCCTGACTTCCTCTTTACACAGAACAACTACATGCAATTTACGTGAGAAATTGAGGAAGACTGAAAACTTCCCTTCCTAGACTTCCCGGTAGGTCGTGACGAGAACACTGCGAACATCAATTGACTAGAAAGCGACGCATACCGACAGATTAATGGATCAGTTATCCCATAATGGTGTATGTAAGTGACGCTTTGGACCAAGACTTACGCCTGTGAATTCTCTCAAACATTGGCTTCGGTGTGAGCGTGTGGTGAATGAGATCATTTTATTTATTTTGAATCGGCTTATCAAACTGTTGTGACGCTAAATTGTCCTCGCTGTAAAGGTAGATGTGTCCCTAAGCGCAACGGCATCGACCGTGTGACCAACGGGCTGTAGAAACAGCCAGAAACTATAATTAAGTATATTAATTAAACATATACGGCTCATGCGAATCGGACTTGAATCGAGACTTGCAGAATTCCATACAGGAAACTGCACAGCCGTGCAAAAACACGTACTGCGCGAGTAAATGACTCGAGCACTTCGTTTTAAAAGCAATCGGTCTGACACAAGGAAATGAGTAAACTTACCTTCAGCACCTCTCTTCACGGCCAACAACTCAAGAATTGAAACGGAAAAGAAAATGAAAATAGATTTCATCTTACTAACTTCAAACAGAGCGACTGGTGTTCTATCCTCCGCCACGAGTCTGCAGTAACTGTATCATGCATCGTGATCCTATCATAGTATATCTACTTTCAAAGGGCATACCAATATATAGTGGTATCAAAGTCGTCTGTGATTGGCTGCATATATCTGATTGGAATCGCACTATTTAGATAAATGCTCACATCTTCACTCCAGAATTCTCGGGCGCCTTTATCCTTATACTGGCTGGACGACGATAAGGAACCACTTGCGAACCTGAGAAACCATTACTGTATTTATATAGGTGGCGTTAAGAGAATCAAGGGATGTTGACCATTTAAACCGAGATTCCTGAAATTCGGGGGTAAACAGTTAGTTCTGTGTTTCTGTTTACAACCATAGAAATACGTTTTGAGTTTGCACTACCAGTTTTCTACCACGTATCACGTTTTCTACCACCGTACCACCACTTCAACTTACCAGACTCTTTTTTAAGAAGAGAATAATTAATCGCTTCGTTAAAATTTTTACTTTTTACCCGCACAAGCTGTTTTACTACGTCTGTTTTTCGTTCTACTCCACTCTAATTCACTTAAATTTGATGCGACCCAGCTCCGGACTAGTTTGGCTCGGCTGAGGCTACGTAGATTCTATTCCAAAGATAGTTTGGTGAATGCATGTTTAAATCTAACAAGACGAAATTATTTATCAGCGGCAAGAACGTGCAGAGTTCACCTAGCATCATTTCATAATTGCACTCGCCTGTGGCTCATGCAATTACATAAACTTTCAAAACATCCCTTGCTTCCCCTGATCACATGATGCACCATGTTCATGCAATGATCTGTTCACTATTTTCATCGCAAAGTCACGTACCAACGCCAATTGATACGTTTTCGACGGATGCACAGTACTCAAAACACTTTCAAAGGTCTGGAGAATGCAGCTACGTTTTCTTGGAATGGATTGCTACCTACATTCATCGTGAAGGAAAAACCAAGATAAATTTTTTTTACATCTTTCTTCTTTTGGAGCATTTTAGCACTTACGTTGTTGTATTTATTTGCGACAAGGATCTATTTTGAAAGAGAGCAATACAGAAATCCCGTATTGAACTCTACAACCTATCTATATATATATATGGTATTTTCCCAACAGGAACAAGATATTTTTTATTGAAACTTCTGCTTTTCTTATTTTTCTGGCAAGCCCTTTGACAGTCAAGTTCAACATTTCGTGCAACAATTCTACGCTATTTCTGCAATGTTGCATCTCAACTAGCCTGTAAGCCCCATCTTGGGGAAATTCAATAAAGGTGGAATATTTGTGTACTTTGGCTAATTCCATTCGGGATTTTAGTGAGTCCAAAACCCTATCTTTTGACCAACCGGTTTACAGATGAATGTAAATATCCATGATCTAGATTTGAAGAGATTATATAGAGGGCAATACGAGATTTGGCACTGCACTCCTTCGAACGTCAGGTATTAAAGATAAATAAACAACTTAAACAACACCAAAAAGTATCAAGCTTGGATTGTCTCTCTAACTATT